CGATACGGCCATGTGGTCCCAGTCTTTAATAGCTCCCACCTGAATAACGGGAACAATTGAACGGCATAATATCACGTAGCTTCCTTAACCCGCCGATGCTCTCAAGAAAACCATGCGGCTATGTTAGAGGCGCACGCTGTTTAAGCAAGAAACCTTTGTCTTCTAAAAAAAATGCAGAAAGTGTATCTTCCATGCCGCAGCGATGGCCCGTGAAAAAGAACTAGAACGTAATGGCACGAATAGGAGGCTCGCCAGGATGTAATCACTTAAGTTTTTCTTTCGTGGTGACGACGAAGACAAGCAAACTTAGCGCTTCTCGTGGCTGCATGAAGAAGCGCATCCACGAAGGCGGAAAGTACAGAGGAAGTGTTTTTCGAAGGCCAGATGGGGCACATCAAAAAAGCCGCCGAGTCAGTTCCAAGATCTCGCTGCTTTGTCAGTGCAGGCTGTGTTGTAGCTGCTACCCGGCATGCGTAAACTAATTTTTTGTTTTTGTTTTGAAACTTGAGATTTATTTTTAGATGTTTCTTTAAGTTAACAGAATGTGTTTCCACCTTCTGGCAACTTATTTTTCCGGTTCTTTTTTTTTACGATGCGTGTCGGTGCCGCTGTTCTACATGACTTCTATCTTTTCGAGCTAACAAGAGAATGCAGCGATGTGCGAAAAATGGGCCTCTTATACGCGAATGATGTGGCTCGGAATGGGTCGATATTTCGAAGCTGAGCTTTGTTGAGACTATCCCTGTGCTGATGCATAGTCTCTGAGTACATTATTCTCACTTTACGTTGCAGTACTCTTTAGATAAGAGGGAGCAGAGGGAGAAGGTTGTAATCTCTTAACATCATGAAAGATCAAAAGAAAAGTTTATTACTGTTCTAAAGTTTATTATGATTGGCCAAATAAAAATTGCAGACGTTTAACTTTGGAAAGGTAGAGGGAAATAACAAACTGCATAAATGGAGAGCAATTTCAGGTAAAAAACCTAAAAATGATGTTGTCTTACGAGATTATGTTCAATCTCAGCAAGTGAAACATTGATTAACTGTCTGATAAAAGTACACTACAATACCTGTCTCAAAGCGCTCGTCACTCATGGTGCCAATTCACACATTTATGTTGAATTTTCTCACACGAAGATATTCACGAAAGTGCCCTCAAAGTCACCCAATAGCTTTAGTTTTGTCTAGAGGTTGTCCCACATAACTTGAGCCAAGAATTAGGAAGTGAAAGGCACTTAGGAGGCAAATTGAACCAAACACATACTACTCGCTCTAGCCTGTAGGTACTCAGGCTATTTTTTTTATTTCTCCCCATACAAATTATTATTAATTCTTAAATAACTATTTTTTATTTATGGGCTGGAAACCCAAAACATGAACACTGAGATGTAGAGCACTTTCAGAAACCACCGACTAAATTGCTTCCTGTACGATACGCCTCGCACTGTTAATTTTTCCACGTTGTAAATAAATTACGTAAAACGTGAGAAAAAGCCGGGTGATGGACCACGGGCGCACTGCTCTAGGGCTGCTATAGGTTTTCTTAACAACGCGGAAGCCCCGCCGTGGTGGTCTAGTGGCTAAGGAACTCGGCTACTGATACGCAGGTCGCGGAATCAAATCCCGATTGCAGTGGCTGCATTTTCGATGGAGGCGGAAACATTGTAGGCCCATGTGCTCAGATTTCGGTGCACGGTAAAGAACCCCAGGTGGTCAACACTTCCAGAGCCCTCAACTACGGCGTCCCTCATAATCATATGTTGGTTTTGGGACGTTAAATCCCACATATGAATCAATCAATTTACAACACAGAAAAAAAGTTACAGTGCTATACGTATCGTACAGAAAGTAATTTTGTCGGTGGTTTCCGAAAGTGTCCTACATCTCAGTGTTCATAATTTGGCTTTCTAGCCCATTAATGAAACATAGGTTATTAAAAATTATTATACATTTAGTATGGGGAGAAATAAAAATTGCCCCGTATCTGCATGTCACCTACAAATGTCGTCAAAAGACGATAGTCTTACGTCTGGAGAGAGTATCGGTGAATGGTATTCTGGAGACGCTGTGTTAGAGTGCCCCGAGCGTGCAGCGGAGGCGGACGAGTGCATCAAGTCACGTCAAACGTGAGACATGAGCGCTATCTGGCAGTTTCTTGGAAAACGAAGCGCGTGGCACAGAGGCGGGCGTGCGCGCCCGTCTCAGAGGTGATAAGGTGTAGAACGCAAGGTAATTCAAGTTTTCATTCATGCATGAATTCAATCATGTCTCACCTTGTCTTTCACTGACATCCAGACTTAGTCAACCGTTCTTTTCTTTTTTTTCATTTTCGTGGCAAGGTATTGTGCAATATTTTATCATCGCTTGTTCACACTTATCAAGCAACTCTTTTTGTGCACTGCATATGTAGACTATCATTGCGCCAGCCGGACGTGGTTCGACGATTAGTACAAGGCACATCATAAAATAAAATGAAAAAGAAAATTAGATTGTCCTGAAAAATAAAGCTTTTTTCTTTTTTTTTCATTGCTCAAGCTATTCTCGTGTGGTTTTTCCGGAAAAAAAATAAACTTGAACGTTTCCGTTCGTAATCAAATTCGAAACCTTCCGTGCCCGCTTACGACTTCGGGCTGCTCTTCTCCGAGAAATTCTAATCTCAAGTACAGGGACAAACAAGCATTGACAGCTGGCTTCTTCGCAAAACGTTGACGGGACATGTTTTATGAAAATTAGATTACATTTAGGTTCCGCGCGCTTTCGTTCTCGAAGAGAAAAAGGACTTCCCGTGCGCTGTTGTATTTGTTGAGAAGTGAATTGCGACGACCTCGATAATAAACGTTGTTGACGCCAGGTTTGACTAGCTCTATGGTATTTATAAGCAATTCGCGGTCATGTAAATTACTCTGACGTATGCGCATCGGACAGGTTTTAATGGTGTATGTCCTATCGTACCCTACTTGAAAAAGTGCAGGAATACATTGGTTATTCTTTTCACCTTTCGCACTGCAAGCTGTAAGAGAACTAATAGGTCGTATGAGTACCAAGGCTCCTCGTTTCTCTTTAAAAACTGCATAAAATATGGCTGGAAATTAAAATCAACGTATGTTGAACCATTATGCAGCAAACAAAAAACTATGCGTCTGTCCGAAGTGAATCATGACAAGTGGGCGAAGCCCTGGTGATCGTTCTTACTGTAAATCACCCGCGACATTGCTCACTCCCACATGTAAATCAGTGACAACGCGTTTTTACAGTATATATGATGTGGCTTGCCGTTGAGCCACCACTTCCTATGCTCTCAACTTTAGGGTAGCAGCTTGTTCTCGACGTTGCCGTTTTGCCACGGCTTCCCGAGCTCTCATCTCGGAGGTAGCTTGCATGCAGTCTGCGTAGACGTCTAGCCACCACATGCCACACATTCGCCTCCATAGTAGCAGCTTCTTGTAGGTTTGCCACTTTGCCTTTTGCGGGCGAGAATGCTTTCATGATCGTTTTAATCCATAGTAGAACGAGTGGTCTGGAACGCGCTCATCGTCATCTACGTCATCATCATTATCTTCATCATGGCATACATATTGTACTTAGCATGTGCTGTGGCATGATGGTCGTGTCATCGTCATCGGATACCTTGCACGTGATAACGCGCTTATTCTTCATCGTCATTGTCTTTGCGAGTGGGCACGCCTTGCATGTGCTGCACAGGATTACATGCACCATACAATGAACAAGCCTATAGGCTCCAAGGTGCTTCGAGATGTACTTTTCTGTGACGAGAAACGACATGTAGCAGTAAAGTTGGTTCTCATTTGTATATATTCAAATGCCGGAAAAAATGCTCGTTATTCTCACAGGAACCTCTGATGAATAGACAGAGGTTTTGCATCCGTGCCATCATGCGACAATATCGCTTTCAAACATTACTGATCAACAAAACATAAATGGTTGTACATATTCATCCTAGATACCCGTAACGATATTTTAAACTTCTTATGGCGCGGTCAAAATAAATATGAAAGCACAACCACATAACTGCAACCTGTTTCTCTGGTATCGGCCTTGTTGCTAGTTCTATTATGTGACTTTATTTCTTTGCAATGCAAATAAAAGACCTAAACAATAGAAATATTTATTGTTGCCCGCGAAAAAGATCCCTTCATCGTTTCTACGAAGTAACTCATTTTCAATGAACAGCGCCAGAAAAACATCTTTTTACCTTTCTGTGAAGCTGTTCATAACAAGTTTCCATGACACATATCGCACAGTTATATTAAGAGTTCGATCTCATGACTGTTCTTTTCTGTCAACGCTTAAGTTGACCTTGAGTCTTCATGAGAGAGAGATTGTTTTAAGGAAAGACGGAGGTGTAAGCCCATGGCTATTCGCGTGACTTCTGCTACTTCATGAGCTTGTTGATGATTATCATTTATACGTGGATAACCACTTAACACAGCCAGCCACCCCACCCTCTTCCCCCACCTTGTTTAGAAAGTTCCGCTCAGGCTCGTTGCCCGCACACGCTAATCATCAATAAACTCACGATCTTGTTTTCAGCAATTACTTGGAATTCATTTCAGAGCAGGAAACACACACAGGGCTTAAAAATTTTCACGCAATGAGATAAGCGTGTTCTTCAAGAACACGCACTTGAAAGTGAACATTGCTTTACAATTATTGTTTTTGTTTTATTTTGTCAACTTATGCTGCGTTTCATACTAACTCAGTTCCATTCCCATGAGAGCATGACCGGAAAGCATGTAGTGCTTCCCATCAGTTGTTTTTACGCATGGTCATGGAATCCAGTGACGCACGTTGACCTCGGTATATCCCTGTCATGAATGAGTGCTGAGGTTAAAAAATCACAATAAATACACGGTATTGGCCATGCATTTGTAGTGCTTACAATTTCTCTACTCAGGATCATCATTACTGCAAAGAAACCAACAAAATCACAACCTATATTTATACATTGAACCGTCTAGTGAGTGTCGGAACATGCTTACCTTGTAGTGACAGGCAGCTTAACGTCCAGCACAGCAGCCACCAGAACGATTTCGTGACGGACATAATCCGTTGTGCAAAGAGGGAGGCCTTTCACAAGCACGCACGCAGCAAAACACGGCTGCGTTTTTCGTCAGGAAGTGATATCACCGCCTCATGCGCCAGCAGGCACTTTATCAAACTCGGCACCGAAGTGATACGACCAACGCGCTTAGAGAGGACGGCTCACGCCCTGTTCATCGGCTCAAACGACGCAAAAGCAGCCCAAAAGTCTTGCGTCCCAAGCGACCGCACGATTCACGGCACCGGTCTCGACTGTTCGTCTTTCATCCGGTGTTGGTGACAAGAGCCAACGCTCACGCACGATAACGAGGAAAAGCGGGAAGACAGAGGGGCGGGCTTCAAAAATACTGTTGTCCCAAAACGATAGACACGGTGTCACCTCTGTCTTCAAGGAAGTTGTTCCAGCAGGAGCCACTCTGTGTGTTTCTACCCCAGTTGTCGTTCTTATTTGGCTTCGAGAAGCTGCGATGGACGACTTTTCAGTTAAAGTTTGCAATCGCAAAGCGCTTAGGAAATCGTGACTGTCTCGACAGGTCCGACGACGCGAAATGAATTTTTCCGTTAATTATCCGGTCGAGCTTATTCCTATACACTACCAAAGTGTAAGAGCAGTGCAGAGTCCGGGAGGTGTACCATTCAAAGATTCAATTCCAGGCGTTCGAAGCTTTGTCTTCAACGTTCGTAAGAGAATAAGTTGCGGGGAGCTCGGCACGAGAAATTTCTTCAGGCTTTGAAGGAGCGCCAACGACGCTGGCTGGTGCGATAGGCGGAGGCTTCGGCGTCTTCGTCCGAGGAGCAAGGAGGCATCGCGCCGCCGTAACGTTCGGTGGAGCTGCGAGCCGCGCTTGTGGGCCGGTGTGAAGCTGTCGCTCCACTGGCTGCGCCCCGAGCCGAACACGACGCAAGCCGCGAGCGGAATCCGCTACACACGGCCGTTGACGCCGCTAGCCACCATGCGGGCCGTTAGCTAGGGGTGGGGTCGAAGGAGAGGAGGCAGCTGACGTCACCGCGAGCTCGGAGTTCGGGTCGGTGTTTCTTACGCCATCTACCGGAGACCAAATGCAGAGCGCGCAGCCAGCACCTCGAATTGGTCCGCGATTTGAGAGTTGTTTGCGCTATGCTGTGAGTTAGCCGCGAACTGTTCCCAACAACACTTAGCTACCTTAGTGGGCAACCAAAAACTAAGTTCCTCGTAATTTGTGCTCAGAATAATAGGTGACTAATTAAAGTAAAATGTATTAAGGGCGTCCTATTGGCCTTGTTGGTATAACCTGTTCATTAAATTAAGCGCGGGTCCCAGGAGACAAGGACGGGACAGAAAGAACACAAACAAGCGCTAACTTTCAACGATGATTTATTGGAAGCGGATCTTTGAATGTATACATAAAAAAGGCGGACGTTCAAACATGCGCCAATGTAATAACATTATTAAATGAGAATTCTTCTCTAGACGATGATAGTAATAATGAGCTGATACTTTATTGGCCTATTTGTCTTGCTATTACTTCATGCAAGAATGAGAATGTGCGTCTAAAAATGCCGACTGAGGAGACTCTAGCAAAATCGAGTACTTGTACTCTGTTTTGGGCAACTAACACGAAATACTCACGTTCAGAATATATGAGAAAGACTTCGACTGTTTGGAAAAAAACAGCTAACGACTTATAGTACCCTGCATTACAGTAAGAGGGTTAGTTAACAGGACCGATGAGATTTTTGTTGTAAGGCAACCATGATGATAACGGTTTCAGAATAATGTATTTAGTAAAATAGTTTACAATTATAAGTGCTACGTAATCTATACGGGAGAATGGTAAGCCATCCTCTGCATGTTGGCCTCTCTGCTACTTCTCAATATCCTTGTTTCTCAGGAAAAAAACAAAAAAAAAAACCAAAAAGCCAATGCATCATCTCGAAGTGACTAATGACGTGTGGGAGAGCTCTGGGTATCGTATAGGTGAGTAAAACATGAGATTCCTGGGCAGTTGCCCCGAATAACATAAATGTCAGTGACACGAGGTGCTCATAAAACTGATAATTTATTTCGCCTTCGAGTCATCTTAGGCTATTCAAGGAGGATCTAGAAATTGCTGGAGTGGAGCATATGCCTCATAAGTGAATCAAAAACCCGCCATTTTACTGGTGGCAAGATACCCTTTTGATATGGCTAATTTGCTGGAGAGTGTAGTACTCGAGGTGTGCCTTTGTATTACAAGTTTTCTTAAGAAGCCTGAACATCGAGGCACATCTTAGAAGAAATAAGCTCATGACTGCAGCGTAGCCACGGGCTGGCATACCGGGCACATGCCCCCTCCGAAATGCTTTTTTTCTTCACGGCAGAAAGAGCGAAAATTGACCGATTCAAAGTGGTGCGCCATTGCCCCCCCCCCCCCCCAAAAAAAAAAAAAAAAAGTCTGCCTGCGCTCCTGACTTATCAATAGTCTTTTCCGTGGGTTACTTTCTGTAGGAACAGTGGTATCGTACCTCATAATTAGTCTATATCTACCTTAAAGTCTACTCAAGAACTGCCTTTTTTTTTGTACGTGTGTGTCTCGCATATGTTTTGAGCAGTGTTGCGGAATGGGTGCCTCCAATTCATTTCATTTCCATTCTGGACAATCAGAATTGGCCGTACTTCCATTCTTCTCAATTCCTCGGAATGAAAAAAAAAACTTAGCCCATTGCCACTCTGACAATTGTCGAGCAGTTAGATTCCACTCCTGTAATTCCTCAATGTAGGAAAGGCAATATTGACAGTTTAATCGAAGTTAAGAAGGAAAGCCCCATAAAGCTGGTGTCATCTAACACACTAGAAACTGCAAAAGTACACAAAAAGGTTACTAAGGTGGAGAGATATATCTTGGTGATTTATCTTGTGCGGTACATCCACCCTACGAATACCCCGGCAGTTCTCCCGCTACCTGTAATATTTGCATGGTCAGCATGTTTGAGCGAACGGTAATGTTGTATTATTGTTTAGGTTTAGATGTGTCAGCAAAAATGACATACCCTACTTTGTGCTTACAATTGTAGTGTTCAAGCAGACTAAGCCAGGCCCGGAAAATCTACGGAGCTCTCGCAATTCACTTCATTGGGCCATCAAGCGAAAGTGCACCATCGATCGTACAACCCGACAAAAAAATAAAGTATCTTGGCATGCGACTATTCTATTTATTTTCGTTTGCCAAAGAAGCATACATATTTGCGCACCTACGAAATGAACGCTCATGTTGCTAGCCAGCCCCAAGTCCTGTCAGTCTTTCTTGTCCCGTGTGTCTTCGCTGTCCATGATATGAAGACTAATCCGCTTTTTACACGTGTCTAGAGTCGTCCTAAGTATGGCGATAACTAAGATTTGTTTATAGAGCAACAAAACTTTCTATAACTCGTGGTATTAGTTGCAGCAGTGAACCACTCGGACACCTTGTGCCTTTGGATCAAACAAGGAACATGGGCCACACTGCTCATAGGCACTCATGTCAAGCGCACCTGGAAAGCATTGATGTGGCGAGTAGAACTTTCGGTGCTCGCCTGTGCACAGGTATGCAATGTCTTCCTTATCGCGAAGAATATTTGAATGTGTCAGGTACTAAACTGCTCGTGAGATAAAGAACAGGTAGTGCATAAAGCATTCGCTACTTTCGTGCGAGGGTGTGAATAGGGCCCCGCCGCAGTGGTCTAGTGGCTAAGGTACTCGGCTGCTGACCCGCAGGGCGCGGGTTCGTATCCCGGCTGCGGCGGCTGCATTTCCGATGGAGGCGGAAATGTTGTAGGCCCGTGTGCTCAGATTTGGGTGCACGTTAAAGAACCCCAGGTGGTCTAAATTTCCGGAGTCCTCCACTACGGCGTCTCTCATAATCATATAGTGGTTTTGGGACGTTAAACCCCACATATCAAATCAAGGGTGTGAATAGGAACCGACGTGCTTTGATAATTTGTTTCTATTTCAGTATCTGATGGGATTATGCACTTGTTTGTAAATTTGTGAACTACCTCTTGCCTCGGTTTCTTTTTTAACAAATCGGTAGTTCGTTAGATGCCCTGTTACCTTTTGTTTGGTGGATTACCATGTATTAATTTTTTAGGAGGCTGCGGAAGAGATAGATATGAAATCGTTAATGATAACCATGCAGTTAGCCTGTTCAACCGGCAGGCTTTGTACTCCAGGTTGACGACTATCACATAAAATAGCCACACATACTCGTATATTATATGTTGTAAACGTTGCCCGCTCTTCTCGTTTTCACAGACTTCATTATTATCATTCGTTGCTTCGTGGTCTTTTGCGCACGCGGTCGCTCCGCCATCTTTTCATGCTGTGGTCATTCTCTCCGATCAAACGCATGCCGTATTTCATCTTTTGCTTTAGTTCACTCCGAAAAAACAACATTTTGATATTTATTTACGTTCTAAAAAAGTGAAAGGAGGGAAAGTATTCATTATTCTTCTGATATGTTCTGAATAACCCAATCGATCTTTAGAATGAGCTGTGTTATTACGTTATTCCGTAGTTTTGTGTGGGCTTATTATTTTGCTTTCTGCAATATGCTTAGTGAGTTTTATTTGGGTAATTTTGTTATCCTTGATTGTTATGAAATGAGAGCGCACTATTTAGTCGCGGGCAAAAAGACGGGGACAAGCGCTTACTACCAACAGAAAATTTATTAGGAAAACTATGCATCACCAACTTACCAAATCAACCACATTGTTATGCGTGCTGTGTCTGTATTACTTTTTAGCTTTTTTGCCGAATCCTGATGTAATGCGCTGCAAGTGAAGGGTTTTAGAGATATATTGAAATAAAAAAATGAATATATAAATAAATACAAATAAATAAACTAGAAAAAGTTTTGTGAAGGTTTTAGTCTGGTTCAATGAGGTCATGTTCTTTTTATATCCGGGAGCTCTCATATCATACCCCTCAGCATCTGTGAAGAGCTACAGAATACACGTTATAAATGGCCTATCATGTGAGTGGTTTATGGGATTTTTACGCACTGCTCTTATGCATCGCCCAATATATGTTCTGTCTTCAACCCCCCTTTTCCCACGCCTGTGCATGGTAGCAAACAGATTGACAGTAACAGCTTGATGTGCCTGCTATATCTGTTCATCTCTTCATCTCTCTTACTTTCTGTCTCATGCCACTTTGAGAAATAGAAATGAGGTTGACGCTGAAAAATACATGCAAGTAAATATATCGTCTATCCCAAAATGTGCTGAAGTCGTTACCCTAGCGCGCATTCAAACATAAACTTGAGTTGCTTTTGCCTGAATTGTTCATTAAGGAAATGCAGAAATTTAATAATAATGTTTTATATACAGCGCCTCAAGATTTTGCAATCTTGCCTGTACAAGCATAACCACGATTAATATATTTTCTTTATTGATCATTGCAAGGATTGAACACCACATTCTTTATCACTTTGAACGCAAAGTATTCCTTCCACTTAATCACTATTCAATAGAATCATAGTGACGTACACAGTGACATAGTTTATTTAGTCCTAACAAATAGAACGAAGCCACCTTAAGAGAAATACTCCCAACATTTAAAATAGACAATCATGACAACAATAAAAGAAAAAATCATACAGCTATGGCACTATGTAATGTACAATCACGGCATTCGTAAGGTGCATAGGAAAACGCACGATGTCCAGAATGGGGTGAGACAAGCGATTCGATAACTGCACCGGTGATTCTGGTGACAAATAATAGTACACACATTCATAAACTATCTGCTTATACAGTGTTTGTTCATTCTGTTCATACAACAAGGACTGTTCGTGTGCAATGTTGTTATATTGTACTCGGATGCCGATAGAGTGGCGGCCCTTTTTTTATTATTATTAGTAGTAGTATGTAGCCAATTCTAGTTAGTTTTAAGATTTGCTCTCTAGGTGG